ACCTGGAAAAATGTGAAAATGGCGGAGAGACAACGTCTGCAGAGGAGACTTAACAGACTAAAAAACCCAAGCTCCTCTAGTCTCCTTTCGTACGACTGCTTTTCCATTTCTTTTATCATCCTAGCGGCCCTTCTCTGCACTCGTTCCCGTTTGAGTTTATCTTTTTTAAACATGGGAGACCAGAACTGCACACAGTACTCCAAATGAGGTCTCACCAACGCCTTGTACAACGGAAGGCTACTTATCCCTACTAGATATACCTCGCCTAATGCATCCCAAGACAGCATTGGCTTTTTTCACCGCCACGTCACACTGTCGACTCATCCTGCGGTCTACAAGGACCCCTAGGTCCTTCTCCTCTTCCGTTACTTCTAACCAATGCGTCCCCATCTTGTAACTAAAATTGTTATTAGTCATCCCCAAATGCATCACCTTACACTTTTCACTATTAAATTTCATCCTATTTCTGATACTCCAATTCACAAGTTCATTCAAGTCTCCCTGCAGGATATCCCTATCCTCTTCCGAATTTACAACGCCTCCCACCTTCGTATCATCCGCAAACTTTATCAGCCCACTCCTGCAATCGGTTCCGAGGTCAGTTATAAATAGATTAAATAAAATGGGTCCCAAAACCGAACCCTGAGGCACTCCACTTGTCTAAATAATAGGATGTAAAAGACCTGTTGGGTTACCACATTTAACCTCTTGCGTTGGCACAGTTTTAGTACATTAATCCTACTAATATGATATGTATCCTATTGATGGTTTTCATGCTGATGACTCAACTACTTCACTGGGTAGCTTATTACATTACCTACAAGTTTTCTTCAGCTATTGAGAAATGTTTATTTATATTCAAGCTGAAATGTCTCCATTTTTAGTAGGGTTGTCAATTAATTGCAGTTAACTCATGTGATTAACTCAAAAACTTAATTGCGATTAAAAAAATTAATCGCGATTAATCAGTTTTAATCGCACTGTTAAATAATAGAATACCAATTGAAATGTATTAAATATTTTTGGATGTTTTTCTACATTTTTAAATATATTGATTTCAATTACAACACAAGTACTGCAGTGCAATCTCTTTGTTGTGAAAGAGCAACTTACAAATGTAGATTTTTTTGTTACATAACTGCTCTCAAAAACAAAACAATGTAAAACTTTAGAGCCTTCAAGTCCATTCATTCCTACTTCTTGTTCAGCCAATCACTAAGACAAACAAGCTTGTTTAAATTTACAGGAGATAATGCTGCCCGTTTTTTATTTACAATGTCACCTGAAAGTGAGAACAGGTGTTCGCATGGCACTTTTGTAGCCGGCATTGCAAGGTATTTACATACTAGTTATGCTAAACATTCGTATGCCCCTTCATGCTTCGGCCACCATTCCAGAGGACATGCTTCCATGCTGATGATGCTTGTTAAAAAAATAATGCATTAATTAAATTTGTGACTGAACTTCTTGGGGAAGAATTGTATGTCTCCTACTCTGTTTTTCCCGCATTTTGCCATATATTTCATGATATAGCAGTCTCGGATGATGACCAGGCACGTGTTGTTCTTTTTAAGAACACTTTCGCAGCAGATTTGACAAAACATAAAGAAGGTACTAATGTGAGATTTCTAAAGATAGCTACAGCACTCAACCCAAGGTTTTAGAATCTGAAGAGCCTTCCAAAATCTGAGAGGGACGAGGTGTGGAGCATGCTTTCAGGAGTCTTAAAAGAGCAACACTCTGATGCAGAAACTACAGAACCCGAAACACCAAAAAAGAAAATCAACCTTTCTGCTGGTGGCATCTGACTCAGATGATGAAAATGAACATGCACCAGTCTGCACTGCTCTGGATGGTTACTGAGCAGAACCTGTTATCAGGATGTATGCATGTCCTCTGGAACCGTGGTTGAAGCAAGAAGGGACATATGAATCTTTAGTGCATCTGGCACATAAATATCTTGCGACGCTGGCTACAACAGTGCCATGCGAATGCCTGTTCTCACTTTCAGGAGATATTGTAAACAAGAAGCGGGCAGCATTATCTCCTGCAAACGTAAACAAACTTGTTTGTCTGAGCAATTAGCTGAAGAAGAAGTAGCACTGAGAGGAGTTATAGGATCTAAAGTTTTACATTGTTTTATTTTTGAATGCAGTTATTTTTTGTACATAATTCTACACTTGTAAGTTTAACTTTCATGATAAAGAGATTTCTCTACAGTACTTGTATTAGATGAATTGAAACATACTATTTCTTGTGTTTTTTACAGTGCAAATATTTGTAATCAAAAATAAATATAAAGTGAGCAGTGTACACTTTGTATTCTGTGTTGTAACTGAAATCAATATATTTTAAAATGTAGAAAATATCCAAAATTATTTAAATAAATGGTATTCTATTATTGTTTAACAGTGCAGTGTTTAACGTTAACTTTTTTAATCGCGTGATTAATCGTGATTAATTTTTTTAATTGCTTGATAGCCCTACTTTTTAGTTTTTAGATAGTTATTACTTATTTTACCCTTCAAAACTACAGAAAGCATCTCCCTTCTAATATTAATGTTTATTTAATATTTGCATAGTGTAATATCTCCTTTTTCTCAATTGGTTCTCAAACAGAAGAACTGCTCTAATCTGCACAAAAAATGGTTGGTCTCTCCCCATACTGAAGACCCTGGGACTGCTAATGTGTTAAATTAAGCCCATGCATAAATGTTGTAGGATTTTACCTAAGTGTATAAAATGACTAATGACTGTTTCTAGCAGTTTTTTTAACCAAATGCAAGCATCTAATAGCTCTTTACTGTAAAGCAAGCCTTACCTGTACCAGCATATTTATCTGCCATGTTGATATCTATGTCCAATTTTAAATTCAGCATAGTCCTGATGACATCATCACTGCCTTTCCCAGCTGCCCACATAAAGGATGTTCTTCCCTCAAGGTCTGAGTCATCTTTCACAGAGGGATGTTTCAAAAATACTTCAACTGTATCCTGCAGAAAAACTTCACTGAGTAAGAATGCCATTGAAATTAACATAAAAAGAGTCTGTAATGACAAGAAACTATTGTTTTGTTTTGCTTAGCAGTTTTTGCTTAAGAAGCAAAACAAGGCTTCATTTTTCCTTTTTAAGGTTATATATAATATGTCTCATAACAACATTTCTAGCTTGTAATATCATCACTTATATAGTGTTGGAGGATTCTCAATCCTGATCATTGTGTTATTCTGTTACTATGCCTATATTTTATTTATAACACCTATGGCTATGTCACAAGTTATGAATACACTGGTCTTATTCTGATTTCACTTAATTTTCTGTAACTTGAATTTTACTGTCAAGCATCATGCATACATCACTACAATGCACAAGATGTACAATCACAGTGAGGGAAATGATGGGACAACATTACTAGAAATAACCATGTTGACAAACAGCAGAGCAATGCAAGAAAAAAAATTCCTCTTCTTTTTTCAAATTTGGATATGACTTCACGTGAATAGAATTTAATTTTTCAAAGACCACTAAGTGATCCTATAACAGTTTCACTGTATGACAGGTAACATCTTTAGAGACAAAATCACTATTTCTAATAGTAAATAAAATAATCATATTATTAAATTACTAAAATATAGTACATCAGAAGGATGAGAAAAGTCATAACAGCTTAGCCCAGGCTTTCCATTGTGTAATCGACACACTAGACCCTCTCTTTAAATCAAAGAAAAAACTCCTGCACCTCTTCCTCGGGTGATGCTTTGGTTTTAAGTTGTCAGTGACGTAAGACCATTCTAATTCACCTCCTAGCATCACTAATTCCACTACAGTTTCTAAAATAGCAAATTAAAAGGAACAAAACAGCCTAAAACACAGAAGAATCACCCTTCCCAGCTCTCTAGACCAGGTATACGTGCTCTGAGCTCACAGGACCCCACCAGCCGAAAGCCAGCAAGTTATATTGTTCCAACAGCCAGGTCTACAGTACCACTTACTTCAGCATAACTCACATTGCTCAGGGGTGTGAATAAGCCACCACCTTAGCAACGCAAGTTACACCAACCTAAGTACCAGTGTGGACAGTGCTATGTGATCGGTAGATCTTCTCCAGCTGACGTAGCTACCGCCTCTGGCAGAGGTGGATTTATTATACTCACAGGAGAGCTCTCTCCTGTTGGCATAGAGCGTCTTCACCACACGCGCTATAGCAGCTTCTAGTGTAGACTAGCCCTACATCAAACACAAGTTGTTCGGCTCAATACTGGAGTAACTGCGTGAAATTTAAGGGACTGAGGGTCAGACTGTATGGTTGAATGAATCATAGAATCATAGAATATCAGGGTTGGAAGGGACCTCAGGAGGTCATCTAGTCCAACCCCCTGCTCAAAGCAGGGCCAACCCCAACTAAATCATCCACCCCCAACTAAATCATCCATCCAGAATGGTCCCTTCTGATCTTAAACTCTATGAATTTATGAATTTAACTTGCAGAACATACCCTGATGCTGGTTCTGTAGCTAATGCCTGTAGTAAAGGAAGGGGTAGTAAGGGGTAGATCAGTTTGGGAGAGGGAATTACGGGTTCTGAAGGGCCAGTACAAATGTTGAGTATTTGATAGTACATAAATACCTCTTAATGGGTAGATACATTACAAGTGGCAAAGTGTAAAATACTTACATTTTTATTTTTGATCAGTTTGTCTATGCTAATTGAATTACCAGGTGAAGACTTAAGGAAAAAAATAAATGTTAAGATACCTCTGTGGAAATAATTCAAGAAAGTTTGCATTCAGGACAGTCAGGAATAGGTCTGTACCGGTGAGTTCATCTTGATTTCCTGAGCTCTGTGCACAGTGAGTAAGCTACCTTTTGAGTTCAACCTAATGTATTCCAGTAGCTCCTGAAACTGGGAAGGAGCTGATGGAGCTGTCTTCTGAAAGGAGGGTTTGTAGCTTGGTAGAAGATGAGATGGGCAGCTTGAACCTGGTTGTCTGTACAGATAACACCAATAGCAATAGAACTCGTTTTTGAAAGGGAACTATGCTCACTCTTAGGGCCAACACAAAGCAGGGGCAAGCTGGTAGTAAACAGGATGTTGAATAAAACAGGAGTACTTGTGGCACCTTAGAGACTAACAAATTGCTGGCACATGATGGCATATATCACATTGGTAGATGTGCAGGTGAACGAGCCCCTGATGGTATGGCTGATGTGATCACAATGCCCCTCTGCCATGTACATTGGCCAAACTGGACAGTCTCTACGCAAAAGAATTAATGGACACAAATCTGACATCA